ACTCTAACCCTAACTCTAACCCTAACCCTAACCCTAACCCATAGCAGCCCTAGAATACTGACTGGAATTTGCCTGGAATTTCAGGATTTCCTTTTTTGGGGTAAATTAAAAGAGTGCACTCACAGTGGGTTTATGACGGTAGATTTCTATGTGTACAGATTAATCGAGCCTGGATGGGTGGTGGAGGTGATGTAAAAAAAAACCTTTGCAGGTTCTTCCAGTCTATAACAGGGGTTAGAAAACTCGGGGGAAGACAAGGCGACTGCGTGTGATTAACCACATCAATAATAATGTCTTTCGTTATGTCGCAATAGTGTGAGAGAGAGAGAGAGAGAGAGAGAGAGAGAGAGAGAGAGAGAGAGAGAGATTGTCAGAGACATAGATGATGGATGTTAGTTCATCCCCTCCCGCAACCCCAGGCGTGTTTATGCGTTAGACAGTCTACAAGTGTGTGTGAGAATGGGAGTGGACGATAGAAAGACAGACAAAGAGTCAGGTAGACAGACACAGAAATTAAGAGAGAGGCAGAAGAAAGAGAGATGCATAGAAAGAGGCAGACAGATTGGGAGTAACAGAGAAACAGACAGACATAGATATTGGGAAAGGCAGAGAGAAAAAGAAACAGAGACAGGCGCATAAAGAAAGAGACAGAGAGACAGCGAGTGACAGAGAGAGAAGCGCAGATATTGAGAGAGACAGAGAGAGAAGCATAGACATTGAGAGAGACAGAGAGAGAAGCATAGACATTGAGAGAGACAGAGAGAGAAGCATAGACATTGAGAGAGACAGAGAGAGAAGCATAGACATTGAGAGAGACAGAGAGACAGCGAGTGACAGAGAGAGAAGCATAGACATTGAGAGAGACAGAGAGACAGCGAGTGACAGAGAGAGAAGCACAGACATTGAGAGAGACAGAGAGAGAAGCATAGACATTGAGAGAGACAGAGAGACAGCGAGTGACAGAGAGAGAAGCATAGACATTGAGAGAGACAGAGAGACAGCGAGTGACAGAGAGAGAAGCACAGACATTGAGAGAGACAGAGAGAGAAGCATAGACATTGAGAGAGACAGAGAGAGAAGCATAGACATTGAGAGAGACAGAGAGACAGCGAGTGACAGAGAGAGAAGCATAGACATTGAGAGAGACAGAGAGACAGCGAGTGACAGAAAGAGAAGCACAGACATTGAGAGAGACAGAGAGAGAAGCATAGACATTGAGAGAGACAGAGAGAGAAGCATAGACATTGAGAGAGACAGAGAGACAGCGAGTGACAGAGAGAGAAGCATAGACATTGAGAGAGACAGAGAGACAGCGAGTGACAGAGAGAGAAGCACAGACATTGAGAGAGACAGAGAGACAGCGAGTGACAGAGAGAGAAGCATAGACATTGAGAGAGACAGCGAGTGACAGAGAGAGAAGCATAGACATTGAGAGAGACAGAGAGACAGCGAGTGACAGAGAGAGAAGCATAGACATTGAGAGAGACAGCGAGTGACAGAGAGAGAAGCATAGACATTGAGAGAGACAGCGAGTGACAGAGAGAGAAGCATAGACATTGAGAGAGACAGAGAGACAGCGAGTGACAGAGAGAGAAGCATAGACATTGAGAGAGACAGAGAGACAGCGAGTGACAGAGAGAGAAGCATAGACATTGAGAGAGACAGAGAGATGCAGAAAGACATGGAGTGATAGAGTGAGACACAGACATGATACTGAGAAACAGAGAGACAGACAGACATAGATACTGAGAAAGACAGAGAAGGACAGACGGACAGACACTGATACTGGGACAGATAGAGAGAGAGACAGAGACAGAGACAGAGAGAGAGAGACAGAGAGAGAGACAGAGAGAGACAGAGAAGGACAGACGGACAGACACTGATAATGTGACAGATAGAGAGAAAGAGACAGGGAAGCCGCGCAGACAGAAATAGAGAGAGAGACAGACAGGGACAGAGAGAGATACAGAGAGGGGTATACAGAGAGAGAGATAGACGTCTAAAGAGAGAGAGAAAGAGAGAGAGAGAAACGTCTAAAGAGAGAGAGAGAGAGAAGGGGGGGGGGGGGTTGGAGATAGAGATATAGGAAATTAGAGTGTACTTGACATTAAGTAGTAGCTTCCCCGACACTGTCAACTAGACGTAAACCGAAAAAGAAACACATGGCATGCGCTTTCACCGTATAACCTGGAGGAAATTGTCTGGGTTTAAACTCCTATATCAAATGATCAAAAGATTAGTTTAGCACCTCTGGGCTGCTACAGAAAGGTTGACCACACCAGCCTGAGTGTTACAAGACCATGGTGTGAGTGGTAGACCATCAAGGCAGACTGCCCGTTCAATCTTTACAGCAGTTATCACATTAGAGATATAATTAACAAGTAGACTATGTATTGATTGGCAGTCATAGAAAGATAGGAGGGCACAACAGACATCATAAAAATCGAAAGCTATAGGAGTCTCAAGTACGTTTTCTGCCTTCACCAACAAGAAGATGTTGGACTAAAAGCTCTAAGTCTTTTGTCTAGAACCAAATCAAGACAACGAGAAACAAAGGAAGCACACAAAGCAGATAAGAGACTTGGCGAACGATCGGCTAGGATTTGGGTAAAACATGGGTTGAGCTCCAGCCGGACCACACAATAAGACCGTCTTCTTCTTCTTCTTCTTCTTAACGTTGACGTGTAGACTCCAGGGGAAAGTTGTGGCTGTCCGTCAACTTCTGAACTCCAGTCTTGTTCCAGAGCTTGAGTTTTATGTGTGTACATCCGTTTTACAGATCTTGTTTATAAGTATTTACTGTCTGCTGCTCGCCTCTCATATGCATTAACTCTTTGACTTCGAAGACGTTTGCTGCAGTGTGCTAGGTCTAAAGCTCACCCCTCCCCCCACCAGCACACTTCCAACCTTTATGAAGAAAGAATAAGCTAACGTTGCGACAGTTAGTTGAGGGTGTATATTCTACCTGGGATACAGGGCTTAAGAGATAAGAGTATATTCTTTGGTGGATTAAGTATTCGAGCAACTGAAAAGTATGTTTAAAAAAAGACAATGAGGAACGGCCTACACTAACTCTGATGCAGAAGGGGACTTGCCTGTAAGGACCCGCCTGTAGGGACCCTACTGTAAGGACCCTACTGTAAGGACCCTACTGTGAGGACCCGCCTGTAAGGACCCGACTGTAAGGACCCGACTGTAAGGACCCGACTGTAAGCACCCGCCTGTAAGGACCCGACTGTAAGGACCCGCCTGTAAGGACCCTACTGTAAGGACCCGACTGTAAGGACCCTACTGTAAGGACCCTACTGTGAGGACCCTACTGTAAGGACCCTCCTGTAAGGACCCTACTGTAAGGACCCTACTTTGAGGACCCGCCTGTAACACCCGATCTGGCAAGACTGCAGATCTCGTAGGCCTACCTGCATTCAGTTTTTAAAAGGAGTAGAAAATTATAGGGAAGAGAAAAAGTTTGTAAGAAACAACAAACAGTTTATGTTAGCTTTACAAAATCGATCACAATAAACAAACAAAGGACGTTGCGGCTATTAGCCTTCATCAGCACAAAAAGAACAATACAGTACACATACACAAATATACTCTAACTATAAAGTGACTACATCAGTAGCCAAGATGATGAGTGTGTGGAAATGAACTGGGGCTCTCAACTCGTTATGTCTGCAACGGTTCATTAGCCTCGTTTTCTGAAGATGGTATGTTCGTTTTTGGCCTTAGTCGTTCGGTTTGGTAGTACAGTTGTTTTTAGTGTTTCCGAGGGATCATTACTGGAGCTACGCAGTTCGTATTTTATGGGACTTCCTTGTCAGGTGATCAACTGTTATCAGGATAGCGACCGATCCATATAGGACACAATTCATGCAGTGAGGTCGATTCTCTTCCCTTTAACCCTGTCGACCCGAGAAGCTTAAATCTAGTCAACTTCGGCTGTGAAGCAGTCCCATAAATGCCGACATCACTTGTTCTCCAAAAAAAGTATATGAATTCCATTGGTCTCAATAAAAATAACTTAAAAATAACTAATTTTTTAAATATTTATTATTGAACTGTTTAGAATTCTTCTTCTTCTTCAGCGATCTCTGGTCATGCGCATAATCCACTGTTGGTCATAAACTGGGATGTCTTTTCAAGGTCTCAGGTTTCCCCAAAGCTTAGTTGTCAGTTCTACTGGGTGTTGCCATATGTCGCTCCGCAGCTCCGCCAGGAGAGGACAGTCTTGCAGGACATGTTCTGGAGTCTGTTCAGCACGAAGACACTGGCAGAGAGCTGTTTGGCTCATACCTAATTTATATGAGTGTTTATTGAGTCTGCAGTGTCCAGTGCGTAAGCGAAAAACTGTGACTAGGTCTGCTCTGTTCAAGTGCCTCAGAAAATCTTTTCCGTAGTCATAACCAGTGTTGTTTTTCCAGTCTGTTTCTGATTTTCTCTTAATGAGAGTTTTGACTTCTGGAAAAGATAGTGGCTGGTAGGTCTGTAGTTTGTTACTGCCTTTCTTGGCTAAAGCATCTGCGCTTTCATTGCCTTTGATGCCGCAGTGAGACGGAATCCACTGCAAGTGAATTTCTGCCTTATTTGACAACATAGCAAGTTCCTGTGTTAGACTTTGTAGTGTGCTGTCGGTAGGTTTGGACTCAAGGGCCTGTACAGCTGACAGTGAGTCAGTGAGAAAAACTAGCCTGCCTGCGGTGATTTGCAGATTGTTCATATACTGTGCTGCCATCAATAGAGCTGAGAGTTCTGCCTTGTAGTTAGAGAACTGTTTAGAATAATTTCAGAGGTTTTTGTTTTCTATAAATCCTCATGGATTTGGGCGAGTGGGTTAAATACTTCTTTGAAAACACCCTCAAAGATGGCGGACACTCTCTAATGTTTTTACAGTAGAGCAGTCACTATGCCAGATAGACTGCACACTCGCAACAACAACATTATCATCATAAACAAAACCAGACGACGACAATAACAGGATCACAGGCTTCAAATCTTACCTGTATGCAGAAAACTACGGACTGTATTTGCAGCAATGGCGCCATTGCCCTTGAGTTTGAGATATTTGCTTCGCTTTCTGGAGACTTCCGTTTGCGCCTTATACAAATCCAGCATGTATTCCGGAACTGCGTAGTCTGGGCTAACCTTTGGCCTCTTTTCGAGTCCGTTATTTTTCAAAAATAATTGTTCAACTGCTTTGAGCATATTTTTATTCTTCACTGATATCTTGAACTGCTCACGTTTCTGCAAAGGTGAACCATTTGTCTGTGATATCTGTTGATGCTGGGCCGAATTTGTGGCAGATGTTTTCATGACAATCGATAAAGGCGGGGTTTCAGATTGTAAACTGCTGTCTGATTGGACACTAGTAAGTGGTGTGACACTTAATTGGCTATTAACAGTTGTGGGCGAGGTTTCTTGTGGCGTCTTGTGCTTTAATTGGTCGCTTATGTGTGAAAATGAATTTGTTTGGCTATCACTGGGATAAATGTTCGTGTCTGATGATGACGGCTGAAAATGTTGCGACAACGTCCGTGAACTGGATGACACTGTTGACGTTGCTGGAAGTGACTGGGATGTTTCTGATAAAGGCGATTCTGTGTGTGAGGACCGTGATAGCGGCGCAGACGATGATGAAGAAGAGGGTGGTGAAATCGAAGCTGTGTTGATATTAGCGAAGGTAAGGCTCGGCACCAGCAGCAGTATCAGCAAGGTCACGTGACAGCAGTAGGACGCCCCAATCATGCTTGGCTGGACACCTGTTGATATAAAACAATTTGATTGGTTTGGTTTTAGACATCTTCACATTATCAGAAGACTATGCGATTGGCTAAATAATCTATGTCACTGTTTGAATAGACGATTACGTTGTGACATTTGGTTTTAATCGGACAATTATCTATTGACAAATACATTATACAGTTTCATCCGTGCCTTGTATAAAAGTCAATCAATTTTCTTTTCAATCGGCTTCTACATTAAACTTCCAGGGAAAGATTTTAATCTTCTCCTTCAGCTAGACTGGCTGGCGAGAACAGGTTCAACAACGTTTAGCTCGTCAGGGTTCCACAACGTTGAGGTCAGGTTAGGGTTTCACAACGTTGAGGTGAGGTTAGGGTTCCACAACGTTGAGGTGAGGTTAGGGTTTCACAACGTTAAAGTGAGGTTAGGGTTTCACAACGTTGAGGTGAGGTTAGGGTTTCACAACGTTGAGGTGAGGTTAGGGTTCCACAACGTTGAGGTCAGGTTAGGGTTCCACAACGTTGAGGTCAGGTTAGGGTTCCACAACGTTGAGGTTAGGTTAGGGTTTCACAACGCTGAGGTGAGGTTAGGGTTTCACAACGTTGAGGTGAGGTTAGGGTTTCACAACGTTGAGGTGAGGTTAGGGTTTCACAACGTTGAGGTTAGGTTAGGGTTTCACAACGCTGAGGTGAGGTTAGGGTTTCACAACGTTGAGGTGAGGTTAGGGTTTCACAACGTTGAGGTCAGGTTAGGGTTCCACAACGTTGAGGTCAGGTTAGGGTTCCACAACGTTGAGGTGAGGTTAGGGTTTCACAACGTTGAGGTGAGGTTAGGGTTTCACAACGTTGAGGTCAGGTTAGGGTTCCACAACGTTGAGGTCAGGTTAGGGTTCCACAACGTTGAGGTTAGGTTAGGGTTTCACAACGCTGAGGTGAGGTTAGGGTTTCACAACGTTGAGGTGAGGTTAGGGTTTCACAACGTTAAGGTGAGGTTAGGGTTTCACAACGTTGAGGTGAGGTTAGGGTTTCACAACGTTGAGGTGAGGTTAGGGTTTCACAACGTTAAGGTGAGGTTAGGGTTTCACAACGTTGAGGTGAGGTTAGGGTTCCACAACGTTGAGGTGAGGTTAGGGTTTCACAACGTTGAGGTGAGGTTAGGGTTTGACAACGTTAAGGTGAGGTTAGGGTTCCACAACGTTGAGGTGAGGTTAGGGTTTGACAACGTTGAGGTGAGGTTAGGGTTCCACAACGTTGAGGTGAGGTTAGGGTTTGACAACGTTGAGGTGAGGTTAGGGTTTGACAACGTTGAGGTGAGGTTAGGGTTCCACAACGTTGAGGTGAGGTTAGGGTTTGACAACGTTGAGGTGAGGTTAGGGTTCCACAACGTTGAGGTGAGGTTAGGGTTTGACAACGTTGAGGTGAGGTTAGGGTTTGACAACGTTGAGGTGAGGTTAGGGTTCCACAACGTTGAGGTGAGGTTAGGGTTTGACAACGTTGAGGTGAGGTTAGGGTTCCACAACGTTGAGGTGAGGTTAGGGTTTGACAACGTTGAGGTGAGGTTAGGGTTTGACAACGTTGAGGTGAGGTTAGGGATGACAACGTTGAGGTGAGGTTAGGGTTTGACAACGTTGAGGTGAGGTTAGGGTTTGACAACGTTGAGGTGAGGTTAGGGTTCCACAACGTTGAGGTGAGGTTAGGGTTTGACAACGTTGAGGTCAGGTTAGGGTTTGACAACGTTGAGGTGAGGTTAGGGTTCCACAACGTTGAGGTTAGGGTTTCACAACGTTGAGGTGAGGTTAGGGTTCCACAACGTTGAGGTTAGGGTTTCACAACGTTGAGGTGAGGTCAGGGTTCCACAACGTTGAGGTGGGGTTAGGGTTTGACAACGTTGAGGTGAGGTTAGGGTTCCACAACGTTGAGGTGAGGTTAGGGTTTCACAACGTTGAGGTGAGGTTAGGGTTCCACAACGTTGAGGTGAGGTTAGGGTTCCACAACGTTGAGGTGAGGTTAGGGTCCCACAACGTTGAGGTGAGGTTAGGGTTCCACAACGTTGAGGTGAGGTTAGGGTTCCACAACGTTGAGGTGAGGTTAGGGTTTGACAACGTTGAGGTGAGGTTAGGGTTCCACAACGTTGAGGTGAGGTCAGGGTTCCACAACGTTGAGGTGAGGTTAGGGTTCCACAACGTTGAGGTGAGGTTAGGGTTTGACAACGCTGAGGTGAGGTTAGGGTTTGACAACGTTGAGGTGAGGTTAGGGTTCCACAACGTTGAGGTGAGGTTAGGGTTCCACAACGTTGAGGTGAGGTTAGGGTTCCACAACGCTGAGATGAGGTCAGGGTTCCACACCGTTGAGGTGAGGTTAGGGTTTGACAACGCTGAGGTGAGGTTAGGGTTTGACAACGTTGAGGTGAGGTTAGGGTTTGACAACGTTGAGGTGAGGTTAGGGTTTCACAACGTTAAAGTGAGGTTAGGGTTCCACAACGTTGAGGTGAGGTCAGGGTTTGACAACGTTGAGGTGAGGTTAGGGTTTGACAACGTTGAGGTGAGGTCAGGGTTTGACAACGTTGAGGTGAGGTTAGGGTTTGACAACGTTGAGGTGAGGTTAGGGTTTGACAACGTTGAGGTGAGGTTAGGGTTCCACAATGTTGAGGTGAGGTTAGGGTTTCACAACGTTAAAGTGAGGTTAGGGTTCCACAACGTTGAGGTGAGGTCAGGGTTTCACAACGTTGAGGTGAGGTTAGGGTTTCACAACGCTGAGGTGAGGTTGGGGTTCCACAACCTTTACTTGAAGTTAGCTGAAGTTAGAACGGTAAGGGTGTTTGTCTGGCGCCTTGATGGTCCTGTATTCGATTTTGAACTACCTTGTTTAGTTCAGGAGTACAGTTGTGTGTGTGGGGTGAGGGGGGGGGGGGGGGGTGGGGGGAAGGGGGATGGGAGATAGGTGACCTGTAATGCTTAGCCAGGTATTCTGCTGAGACACAGAGGGAGGGAAAGAGAGAGAGAGAGAGAGAGAGAGAGAGAGAGAGAGAGAGAGAGAGAGAGAGAGAGAGAGAGAGAGAGAGAGAGAGAGAGAGAGAGAGAGAGAGAGAGAGAGAGAACTTGGTGATATTAAATCTGTAGCAATAGCCTGTAATCCCTAACTGTTGGGAGGCTGACCCGTTGGGGAATTCCCTCCGCGTGTTAAAGCCGTTTCAAGCACAATGATGTCACGGGTCTTGATCGGCACCCATATTGGATTTCTTTTAAAATGGCGGAATGGCGTCTGTGACGAGGTGATCAAGACATTTGCATCGCAGTCTAAACATCGTGGGTTTGTTACGCGGATACGTCATAAAATTCTTGAGTGCAGTTATTACCGATATCGCTGGGGGTCGTCGTCGGAGATACAGGGTTCGTACTTTGTACAACGCTCTCGAAGAGCGACTATATGTTCTGAGCCAAAAGAGATTAAACACGATGCCATAGATCAAGACTCTGAACTTTTAACGTTTAACTTCGGAGAGACATATTCATGTCATAAACTAAGAAGTACTACTGTAGCAGCACATTCTAGAAGATAAGCATATGACGTCACAAACATCTAGATCTCTGTGTGCTGTCTGTGTTGGTTTCGTTTGTCCGTTCTGTACTGTTACCTGATGGTGACACCCGGATGGCAGACCCACAGGAACATTCCCAGATGCCAGCTTCTAGCCCAGAGAGGCTTTCATTGCGACACCTGTAACTACCTCAGAGAGGCTTTCATTGCGACACCTGTAACTAGCCCAGAGATGCTTTCATTGCGACAACTTTAACCACCTCAGAGAGGCTTTCATTGCGACAACTTTAACCACCTCAGAGAGGCTTTCATTGCGACACCTGTAACCACCTCAGAGATGCTTTCATTGCGACATCTGTAACCACCTCAGAGATGCTTTCATTGCGACACCTGTAACCACCTCAGAGATGCTTTCATTGCGACACCTGTAACCACCTCAGAGATGCTTTCATTGCGACATCTGTAACCACCTCAGAGATGCTTTCATTGCGACAACTGTAACCACCTCAGAGATGCTTTCATTGCGACACCTGTAACCACCTCAGAGATGCTTTCATTGCGACACCTTTAACCACCCCACAAGCTACTGTCTTTATCTTTACCGCGCGTTCACCGGCTGTAAACTCTAGCGGAAAGTTTTGGTTGTTCATCAGTTTGTGCACTTTCATCTTTTGTCAGAACCTGAGGTATGTTGCACATCCTTTAACAAATTTGTCTCAGCTGTATGCAGACTGTTGGTTCCTCCAATCTCAGGCAGATGCACTCAGACTCTGAATGAAACGCCTCTAATCAGTCGACTTTCACGACATGCTTGTTGGAGAGGGGGCCAGTGGGTCTATCCCCCCCCCCCAACCCGATAATGGGCCCCGTGCGGGTCAGGTTTGACCAGCCCATGTACCCTTCACGTGACCACACAGCAATGACAGTACATGGCAGGAAATGTCAGCAGTAGGTGCGTACATGTCAGCAAGCTGGTCCAAATGTGACGACGAAAAAAAAAAAGGTAATTAAAAAGTTGTAAAACATATTTAGGGACACTAGCTGGTTCATGCTGAGACAAGGTAGTCCCGCTGCTGCAACAGCAGACCTACAGCGACATGTTTACTGTTCACGTCCCACTTACTCCTAGGGTGGCGTGGATGTTTATTAATCTGAAGTAATCACATGTGAGGAGAAATGCAAATTCTTCCACTTAATCTAGACCAGGCCAGTTGTTAATGCCAGGGTCAGACATGGCGGACGAGAGAACAAAGTGTTGCTAGGTTTTCTTACGATATTCTTTCTCGACATGTTCACCTAGAAAAATGAACAGCCTGATAGTTTCCTGGTGTCTGTCATGTCTTTTTCACAAAATCCTACATCTTTATGTGCTAGCCTTTCCTGTATGAGTTATTTCCCTTTATTATCATACTTTTTTTTGTGTTATCTCCCATTTTTGAAGATTGTATTTTCTTTTGTCTATCGACT